ATCCTACCAGTTAGTCTAACAGGAATGAGGGGGCCTGGGGCATACTCTGCCTTCTCCCTCTGGCCAGACCGTCATCTCCATGGAGGAGCCCCAGGTAATCATGACTACAGAGGAGAAAGAAAACAGCCTGTTGCTAGACACAGGTGCAAGTCTCTCGGTCCTTCTTTTCAATCCTGGCCTTCCTTCCAGCCATTACACCTCAGTGAAAGGAGTCACTGGTGAGGAGGTAATATGCTATTTTTCACAACCATTAGCCTGTAACTACTTGTTAGATCTTTCTTGCGTATCTCTGTCTTCCTGAGAAACCACTTTGAAGATACCACCATGTATTACAGCAGCCATTGATATTTTCCTACTAATCTGTCCATAACTCTATAATGTTTGTATTGTTCTTATGCCATTTCATAAATGGATGTATGTTTATTATTATGTGTTTCCTACAACAACCATTGAGAATAGTCAATGAATATTCAATTGGTCAAAATTAAAAAAAAGAATGGATGTGGAGTCAGCCAGGTCTGTAATCCCAGATCCTGAGGATGCTGAGTCAGGAGTATCACAAGATAAAGGCCAACCTTTTGCCTTTTTTGTACCCAGTTTAAAGAGCCAATGCAGCCACATCAATGGGCCACACTACCTCAAGGAATACAAAACAGTCCAACTTTGTGCCAGCTCTTTGTACTGCAGGCCTTACAGAGAGTTAGATAAGCTCTATATTGGCAAGCAGCATTTGTGGATTTTACAGGACAAATTGATGATCATTTTCCCACTGATCCTATCTTTCAGTTTTTTCTCAAGCATTCATGTATTATTCCAAAAATTACTAAATTTGAACCTATTTCTGATGCAGTAGTCTATTTTACTGATGGTTCATCAAAGGGCAAGGCCGCCATTTGGAGTAAGGATTATCAACAGGTAATAGAGACTCCAGGACTTTCTGCACAAATGTCTAAAATTACTGCTATTCTGTTTGTCATACAACAATTTAATTCTAAACCTATTAACATAATTAGTGATTCAGGCTATGCAGTATACCTTACTCAGAGACTCAAGAAAGTCACCCTACGTTTGACTTTAGATCACCTTTATTTAATTTGTTTCTCAGGTTACAAAAGGCAACTCATAATCGAACAGCACCCTTTTATATTGGTCATATAAGGTCTCATTCTAATTTATCTGGATTTTTAACATATGAGAATCAGCAAGCTGACTCATTAATCACTTTACTACTGCATTTGATGCAGCTAGACAATCTCATTCATACCATCATCAAAATAGTAAGGCTTTAACCAAAGAATTTTAATTATCCAGGTCTCAAGCAAGACAAATTGTTATGTTCTGCCCTACTTGTCAAAAGGTTCCTAGGCCTGGGCCACAGGAGGGCAGTAACCCCTGAGGTTTAAAACGTGATGAGATTTGGCAAATGGATATTACACATCTTTCCTCTTTTGGCAAACTGCAATATATCCATGTATCTGTTGATATATATTCTCACTTAATTCATGCAACTTGCCACACAGGCGAAAAAAATGGCCATGTTCAACAACACTGCTTGTCAGCATTTGCTTCTATGAGTATTCTACACACCATAAAGACTGGCAATGGGCCTTCACGTATTAGTAAACCATTACAATCCTTTTTCCAGCTATGGCGCATTAGTTACATAACAGAAATCCCTTACAATCCTCAAGGACAAGCGACTGTAAAAAGAGCACACCTATCTCTTAAAACTCAATTACAAAAACAAAAAGAAGGAATACAGATATCCCTATAAGCACAGTTATATTTAGCCATTTTTACTCTAAACTTTTAAAATCCAGCTGCAGAAAATAAATTGACCCCTGCGGAACTTCACTGGTCAACAGCCCATGATGATGCCCAGCATAGGGCTCTACTGCTTTGGAAAGACATCAACACAGGGAAATGGGAAGGACCAGTTCAGCTAATAACACTGGGGAAGAGCTTATGTTTCTATCCTAACAGGTCCACAAGGTGGCTGCCATCCAGGAATGTACGACCCTGGCAAGAGACACGACCAACCCTGGAGACAGTCCCTCATGATGGTTCCACTGATCCAAGCCCTCCAGAGGATGAGCCTGTCCCATAAGGCTTGCCCTCAGGAACTTGCCCATTAGATAGGCAATCTACCACCAACTCCGGAAAATCCTTTGATTGCCTTAATGGTGTCACTGACAATATCCTATGTATAACACCTGTTTTAAGAGCCAATTATTGGATTTATGCTCCTAATCCACCATTACTTGGGTAGACTCTCCACCTAAGATTTATCATGAACCAGACACTACTGGCCCTAAATTAGGCAAAAGGTTTTTATTTTTTTCAAATTCCATTTATAAGAGATCTCTACTAATTGACATATAAAAAATTCTGATGAGCCTTTTTACAATTACAAACTTAAATTATTATAATTCAATTTGACAAAATATATTTGAGTGCACTCTAATTTTATAAACATAGTCTTTTGTGTATGTCTTTGTCTGTCGAATCTATAAACAGTTGTTTTATTTGAGCTCAACAAATTTTTCTTCTTTTTGTATTTTTTGTATTTTTGAAGTATTTGCCTATAATTTAATTTGGCTTATAGATAAATGTCATCTAAAATTAAGGATATGCTTCCACCAAAGTTACCAGCTGGTCAAAATGATGTCAAAATTGGTTTTGTAAAAGCAGTCTTGTTATGTATATTTTTGTTTATGTATTATAACTTGAGGGTCCCTCATTGTTCAAATTTAATGTGTTAAATACTGAGACTATATTTTCATGGGCTATAAAAATTTATTAAAATAATTACACAAAAATCCCTTAGGGTAAGGAGAAACTGTTGGACAGGACTCCAATTGATGAATAAGGGTGCAGCTGCCTGGAAACATTCTTCCAGTCCTTGTTCATTAATGGGAAACCCCAATAATTTCCACAGCCTTATGGGAGACACCTCAATAAATAATTGTTCAAAATATCTTATGATAATATATTTATACTGGTCATCATCAAAAGGTTAAGTTTTCAAAAAATAAGATGATAAGGTTTTCTGATTAGAAGATATTCTTGGTACAAAACTAAATTGAGAAACAAAGTAATGACAATTTGTTATTGCCAATCTCATGATGTATTAAATGTGTTCATGGCTTTCAAATGTACTATACTCTAAAATGTAAAACTGGGATTGTTATACTGGTAGACATCTGCATTTCTCTCATGCCCCAGATATTTGTAATGAGAGGTTCATGCCAAGCCAACATAAGGTCATCAGTCAAATGGTAATTTTTAGCAAAAACCTAAGTGATGTGTATGCTATATATGTGACTCTGCCTTTAGAGATGCTTAGATATTGAACAGCCCAGACAATGTTACAAACTTCTGCAATGACATTCTATTAGAGGACAAGTTAGGTAAAAGCTTCTTATGTATTAGGTAAGGATAACTGACTACAAAGGTTACTCTACTCCCAAATGGAGATTTAAATGTATTTAAAAGTGTCATCACGCCTGTTATGCTACAGTACTATGTATGCCTTTTGATTTCAAACTTTCTCTGTAAAACTATATAACTGTTGTCTGTTAATAGTCTATAGGGATTCAACTACTAGAGCATCCTTGGTTGGTAAAAATAACAGTTTTCTGGCTATACTCTATATTTCAAGGTGCTCCCCACTACAATATAGTGTCATTAACCTTCTCTTCTGGATGTTCAACAACTGAAGTTTGGAGACCAAAAATTAGAAAAATACATGGGCTAAGCAGATAACCATTATTTTGATCCCAGCCCTCTGAGGTCAGTGAGAACCCAGGACATAACAGAACATTTGCTTCGACATCCTGTAACTTGGTTGAGTCCCTGATCTTCTGATCAAGGAGATTGTGGGACCACAGAGGAAAGCGATTCTACAGTGTGTATAGTGTGCCTAAGTAGTCACCAAGAGAGAAAAATCTCCCAAGCTTTCAGAGAAAGCAACTTGGTCAAGCAATGGCCATGACTCATCCAGACCGCTGACACTCACAGAAGAACTGAGAGGCACTGTACATGGTTCCAAGGTAAATCCTGAGGAGATTTAGCTGACCTAGATAGACAGCAAGAAGTTAACTTTAATACAGGTCTCACCCTAACTTGGTCTTTGAACAACTAGCAGAAAAGTATAACAATACTAGCCATGTTTTAACTGCTGCAATTACAAAAACAAAAAGGAAGAGTTGTTGGAGACCACCACAAAGTGGCTCTGAGCAGGATTTAATATTAACCAATTGGCTTTGCATGTTCACTTGCAAATCTGACTAAGGCCTAGGCTCCTTATCTGGAAATGGTGGATTCATAGTAAGTGGACCTCTGTGAGTCACTAATCCCTACTAGAACCTGTAGTGGTGGATGAAGCCAGAAAGCCTCAAAGGGTAAGACAAGATCACAGCCAAGGACACCTGGATCAGAACTCAATTGGATAAATGCATCTCATTCTTCAGTGGATTAACTTAATACCCTACTTAGAGAAGTCCTTGAGTGGTTCCACCCTTCTTGAGTACTCCCCTCCCTTCTTCTGATAACTAAATAAATATGGGCAACCCAGAGAAGGTCTTGGTCTTAGCCCAAAGAGAATCTTGAATTATGTGAAAGGGCTTTGATCCTCTTGGGGCCCTGAAATCATTCCATTTGTCTCTTTTTATTTAGCCTTTGCCATACACTCATTCAGGAGATTGTGGACCTGATCAGCCCGCAATAACTAAGGGATATTATTATTCCCTTACACAACGCCCTGGGTTCAATCCCCTGGGGGTAAGGATGGAGGGAATTAAAGCCGGGGATCTAGTTCAGTGGTAAAGCACTAGCTTCATATGTGTGAGGTCCTGGGCTCAATTGCCAATACTGCACCCCTCCCCAAAAAAAGGAGTGGTGGTACATGCCTGTAACCCCAGCACTCTGGGAGGGTGAGGCAGGAGGATCACAAGCTCAAACTCAAGTTGGGGCCACTTAAAGACCTTGTGAGATCCTACCTCAAAATATAAAAAGGGGACAGGAATGGAGATGCAGTTCAGTGCTGAGGAACCCTGGTTCAATCCCCAATACTGGAAAAGAAAAAGAAATACATACTCAATTTTGTCAAATTTTTTTACATCTATTAAGATAATCACATTGCTTTTATTCTTTAGTGTGTTAATACAGTGAATTACACTGGTTGTTTTTCAAATGTTGCATCAATCTTACATTCTTGAGATAAACCTTACCTGATTATACCTTTTTATACATTGTTGGGTTTCATGGGCTAAATATCTGTTTAGAATTTCTGCATCTATATTGATGAGGGGACAATGGCCTAGTTTTCTTAAGTTTTTATTTTTTAGATTTTCATTTTTGAAAACTATTGGAGCATGTTTACAAAGCCCACCAACATAATAAAACCAATGATCTGGTCAAGTATATTTCAAAAACTACATGTACCAACTCCACACAAGGATTGTAAATATTATGTACTACAAACATAAAGTAAATAAAAATAAACTACCTCCTCAAAAAATAAATTTCCATCATTTTTGTTATTTTCACTACATTCTTTCACGAAGTTTCCCAGTATCCCAGTTTCAAAGATAAATGATATGATTATCATACATTTACTATTGGTATTAGTAACTATAGTCACCTACCATTGTAAAATGAGTTCAGTGGCATTAAAGCAGCTGTTCCAAACGCTTATCTTATTTTGAACTGTGTCTGGACCCCTAAGAAGCTTTTGGAGAGCTAACTCGGCTCCCAGGGTTTGTTTTTTTTTTGAGCGGGGGGAGGGCGCGGGGTGGAGGAGGGTTTTGAGACAAGGTCTCACTACATTACTTCAGACTGGTCTTGAACTCACTATGTAACCCAGTCTGGCCTCAAACTCATGGCAATCCTCCTGCCTCTGACTCCTGAGTACTGATATTACAGGCATGTACTGATGCTCAGCAGAACAGTTTTCAAGTAAGAATCTGCTGTAGAATGACTATCAGAAATAGGAGTACTGGGATTCTGAGAGAAAAATAAAAATAGAGGTCATCCTCAAATTAGCTCTGGGATGCCTAGAACATAAATCACAAAGGTAAATGGAAATGAAGAGTTTTGTAATGTATGGGATGGAAAGACACCATGGCAAATTTTTAAATTTTATAAGAATAAAACATATTCAGAGCAAGGTCGTGAGTTCAATTCCTGGTACCAGAAGGAAAAAAAAAAACGAAACAAAAAATTATATATTCAAACACCACACAAAAAGAGAAAACCTCAGCTGCAAACCCTACCCCAATTATGTACACACAGTGCCATTAACCTTCTTGAAAATCACTTTCTCCTAAATGAGTTTAAATTCATAGGCAACTGGAACTCACTGACCAGTAAACTGGCACAATTGACACCAAGAACATTTTCACCATTAACTTTTTTGCTTCAGTTACTACTAAATTTCTGTTAAGGTCTTTGATCCACAATATTATGATTATGAACTTAGCCTGTACTAAATTATGTAAACATCACAATCCTTTTGACAACTACTGAAGAACTGAGCAGTTTTGTAGTAATATTTCCAAAATAAGCGTGAAGCAGGTGTGTCCTTTCAACGTTCCATAGATTAAAAAGTGAGGCAAAGTATTTGGATGAATTAATTAAACCTTAAGAGAACCAATCCAAGATGCAACTGTTGGAGGGCCCCTAAATCTCTGGCCTGTGAGTGTAAACCCTTTGGCTGAGATTGAGAAAAACAGCAAACAGGTGAAGGATAGTTTATCTGAAGAAAGATGGCTTGAAATTTTCTTTTTTAGCATGGGAAAATGAGCCCCAGGACTGCTACAGACTTGTATATTAGGCAAGTGCTCTATTACTGAGCTATCCCCCAGTTCTTTTTAATTTTTTAGACAAGGCCTCACTAAATTATCCCAGCTGCACTAACATACCTTAGCCTCCCAAGCAGCTGGGATTACAGATAAGTGACACCTGTAACTTATTTGGAGGAAGGGGAATACTAGAGATTGCACCCAAAACCTTTGTAGTGAGAGCTACATCCCTACTCCTGGCTGTTTTTTTATTATTGTTGTTGTTTTTTCTTTTTGAGACAGGATCTCATAAAGTTGCTAAATTGCCCAGGTGAGGCTTAAACTTGCCATCCTCCTGCCTCAGCCTCCCAGAGTCCTGGGATTAGAGGTATGCACCATGTCACCTGGTTTACCTGTAACTTTTAAAATTAGATTGAGCCATTTAAAATTCTTACACAGCAGAATATCAGCAATTTTATTTAATTCAACTTAATTTACCTTTAAACTATTCTTGATTATTTCAAAGCCTTTTGCAGGCAAAAGTCAAGATGTCTATCACAGGTCCCAGAAACAAAGCATGAAATGATTTTAGGGAAGGTCTTTATAAAGGCAGAAGCAAAACTTCCCTCATAGTTTATAGATCTCTCCCACAATTCTACTCCCAGACCTCTGCTAACTACAGGTTTAAATTATTGAACCCAAAGGTCAAGAGAGAAGAAAAAAGGTCCCTCATTTTCACTTCTGACCTCTTCATTCATTCCTCATTAGTCTTCCCTACCAAAGGAATGATGTTTCTGATTGGTATGTAGCAACTTTCAGCTCTACCAATTTTCTCCAGTGAATGGAGCTGAAGTATTAAGAAGCTGCATAAATACAAAAACAGTAGTCCTGAGTAGGTGCACCTCTTCTCTAGCCTCTAATTCTCAGGTGGGTCATCCTGTATAAACTTTAGGATATATGCATTTGGTCACTCTTCAACTATGTTCTCCAATTCAGGTGAATAAAAATGAAACTTTTATGTCCAACTGTCTAGCTGGTGTTTTACTCTCAGTATGTTCTAGGCTCAGAGGAGGAAAGAAGTACTATGATCAATGATCAACAATCAATATAACTAGGCATGTCTAACAGGGTAACAGTTTAATAAATATAATGTGAACAAAAAAATATGAAGTCATAAACACCTATTCTTAATATACTTCATAAAGTCCTAAAATATACAATGATGGAGACATGAGAAAAGATTTATGACGATACTAAGAAAAAATTTAAAAGCAGAAATATGATATGCTAAGTGACTGCAAGTGAAAACAGTTGCACGTGACACATGCATATGCAAAATTTAAAGCAGTATGCCAAAGAAACAAAACTATGATAAAGTAATGAGAATATGAGAGATTTTTAATTTTAAAAATCTTAATGCTATTGTAGTATTTTTCAGGGTTTATGCCTCAGGACAAAATCTGAAAGTCTTAAAACATTAAGACCCACATTTTTCATTTCTATTATAATGCTGCTTATGTAACAGAAACAAATTTTGTTTATATAAACAGACTGCTCAGAGCCTCCTGCCCTTCTGTGCATATGGGAGCTCTTTTTTCCAGAAATATTTCTATTTTATTTTCAGTTAAGTGAGGCAGCAACAGCTCTTCTCCTTCTCTCTCTCTCTCTCTCTGTGTCTCTCTCTCTCTCTCTGTCTCTCTCTCTCTCTCTCTTCAGTTTTTGTGTTGGAGACTGAAGAGTTGATCGAGATCACAAATGTTTTAGTGGGGAGGAGGTTGAGCTTTTTCCCCTTTTTATGGGGGCGCAGGCAGGTAGAGATTGAACCCAGGGCCATATATGCACTCTACTAATGAGCTACACCTTCAGGCCCTTCAGCCATTCTTGCACTGAAGTGATCCATTCAGGTAAGCTGAGACTCTTAAGATCAGGTATCTTGCTGGCACCAAGCTAAAGAAAGAAGCTTTCAAATAATCAATGAAACCCTCAGATGGCTATGCTACGGAATCCCTCGCCCAAGTTATCATCAGGAATCTCAGAATAACAATGTCCCCTCTCTCCAAACTGCTAGCAACATATTTAGACTCACTGTCCTCCCTCACATATTTCTCAAACACTGCTCCCATTTACCTGGTAACCTTCCTCCTGCCTTCTCTGCATTCCTCTACTATCCCCACCCCAGCCTCACTTGCAGGAAAAAAATACATATGTCAATATTGATTGTGTCAGAAATTTTCTTGGACTAAGCCTCTTCTACTATACCCAGTATTTTAAGAATTCACCTTTTAGTAAATACTAATTATAGAAAATAACCTTTGTTGTACAAGCAGCTCTACTTGAAGAAAAACAGAGTAGAATAAGCATAAGTCTTTGCTGAAATAATTAACTAAAATACGAAAAAGAAAAAATTTTGCGGGGGTTTTTTGTTGTTGTTGTTGTTGTTGTTGGAGACCGGGTCCCGCGATGTAGTCAAGGTTGGCCTTGAACTCACTATGTAGCCCAGGCTGGCCTTGCACTTGTTGCAATCCTGCCTTAGCCTGCCAAGTGCTGGATTTACAGGCATGCACCACCATGCCTGGCTTTTAATTTGTATATATAACTTTACTTCTAACTTTTTGTTTTTCCTCTAGGGATATGCGTAGAAAAACCTTGTAATTTAGGAATGCTATTTTGAGATAGTTTTTTTTTACATATTTGCTTACCTAAATTCTACCTCCTCTATAAGGTTCCAGACAAATTTTACTTTCTCTATGAAGTCTCAGCAATAGTTAAAAGTTTACTAAACACTCACCATATGGCAGACACATTGCAGCTACACATTTAGCATATATTAACTCATTGAATCCTCACAACATCCCTATGAGGTGTTATTATTTTCCCCCATTATGTTCCATTCATTTTATTTGTTTGTTTCTTTATTTGAGACAGAGTCTCAATTTTTAGGCTTGCCTCAAACTCACTATGTAGTCCATGCTGGCCTCAAACTACAGCAATCCTCCTGCTTCAGCCTCCCAAGTGCCTCCCAAGATTACAGGTTCTGACACTATGCCTGGCCTCCTCCATTATTTTCCCAAGGAAACAGGAACAGAAAAGTTCTAAGTAATTTTGCTCAGGTTACACAGCCAATAACTGGCAAACCCAGGATGTCTAATCAAGTAATCTGGCTACAGGCTATATTCTTTTTAATCACTTCTCTATCTTCCTTCAAAAGAATTCTACAGAAGGAAAACTGGGCATTATTATGCCCTTTGTCACTGCTAAAGAACATGAAGTCACCAGCTATGACTCTGCAAAATTACTTTTAACACCTGAAGGATAGCCCATGCCATCAACATCAGACTTAGTATTCTAAAGTTAGGAAACTGACTAAATATATTTAGTTTCTTCTTACTCAATACATCTCTCCCTAGTGAGTCATACCTATAAAACTGACATGCCAACCTAGTACCATGTCCTAAAACAGAATTAATACTTAAAGACAATCAAATGAAGTTACTTCAGCATACGCACAATCAGAAACTGATCATCAGCAATGAGGGGAAATGTTGATCAGAAACTCTGCCAGGCCTCTGAAGCAAAACAAAACTTAAATAATTGTTTTTCAGCTCATCAAAATGAGAACACAAAAATGAAAGTTTAAAGATATGATCTGTCTGGAATTATACTCTAATCAATCCTTCTACCAATGCAGATCAGAATTAGCAAAAAAAAAAAAACTTAAACTAGGTATTAGGAAATGCCATAGGCCATAAGCAAAAGAAAATACCCTTAATAAAACAGGACTTTTAAGAGTTTTATGGGCTGATTAAATATCATTTTCAAATATACTGCTCATATAGTTCCAATTTACACAGAAAATAAATACCAAACTATTCGACTAGCTCTTTAGGCACTTTAGCTACCTCTGGAAAAGATTAATGTGATCCTGAAACACAAAAGAATGCTGATTATGGGATTTAACTTGTTTTCTTTTAGTATCTATCAGTTTTCTAGAGCCCAACAAGCTGTGTGACAATACAGGACACACATACAGAAACAAAGGTAAACCACTGTTTGTTGTAGGCTGAACTAGTCTGTCCCTTCTGGGCTCTAGTCTGTAATGCCACTGACATGCACACTGAAATGCACATCTAAATAGATTTTTAGGTGCATGGCTACAATGGGAAAAAAGAAAAGAACTCTGAACTTAATATAAAATGGTATTCGAGGATGTAGACTGCTTTTACATCAGTTAAGATTTTTATTATTTTCAAAATATATGGATGCCATACTGTACAAAGAAATAGAAATGAATTACGGGTCCTGTATTGCCCAAACTACCACATTGATGAGAGGCAAACTTGTAAAAACTAACACTGTCCAACACTACAGACTATTTTTTAATAACTCATCCTAGCTTGCTCTTTCTTTACTTAGCAGTTATGCCACCAAAGCAAAGTTTACAACACTGTTATTTTAAAAACAGCTCAAGCTTTTAATCTCATACCGTATACACAACGAAGCAGAAAAAGTACTAAAAATACTACCAGCTTTTAAGCAGTACAGTCTGAAGCTATTATTTTTTACTTATCAAATATAATATGCCAAAGTCCTAGATTCTAGAAACAGATCTTTACAAAGGCTACTCTCGCCTACTTTTCTTTTTACACATTCAGTTAAACTTTGATGTTTTGCCACACCTGGAAGTGATTATCTGGCATGATTTTCAAATACTACATACTTCCTAAAGAATTCCTACAGCCAAAGGAAAACTTACCTCTGCAAAATGTGTTGATGTGCTATTGTCTATCCGGCTGCTGCCGCCACCACCTAAAAAACTAAAGAGAAAAAGGAATGGTGGTAATTCTAGTCCCAGAACAAGCTCCCTTCCCAGAAGGTAAAAATAGAATGGTATAATGAGAACAAATCCCAATAAGGAAGTACAACTCATCTCAACACAACACCTACAAAAGAAATGATAGACTGACGTATAGATTAATCTATAGAAAACATAAGCCACAAGATCAAGTGGATTTCAAGTGAATCAAGGCTAAATCCAGTGAAACTTTGGACAGAAGGGCCACCACAAAGAAGGAAGAAGGACCTTCAGTTAGTAATACAATTCACAGTGGATCTAACAAAGACAAACATTTGTCCTCAAAGAAGCTAAGAAAACAAAACTATACTATAAAACCATTCAACCATCCCATGATTGTAACATTTAAGAAAAAAAGTTATTTCTTGGGAATGATTAAAGTAATATAAGGGGTCTGGTGCAGTTTACACATAAGAAAATAAATATTTCTTCTGATAGTTTATCCTATATAGTACTTTACACTGCCTGCCCTCTCAGCCCATCTCAAATGCTACCTCCTCCATTAAATCACTTCTGAACTCATCAACCAAATGCGACTCTTCTAAATTCCTTCTGCACTCTTTGATTCTAAATTCTATCTTGTATTACAAATATCTAGAGTTTCCCTCATCCATTTCAACTCTTTCCCCTCTTTTCATAAATATAAACTCAAAGAACCAAGGCTGTATTTTATTAATGCCTCAAATTAAATATTTAGAGTATGTATAATGTGTTGGAAATTACAGAGTGCTCATTACCTCTGAAAATCCTGCAATACAATATCCTATATTGATATCTCAAAATATAAGCTGAATTAATATCACATGTATAAATGACAAAACAACTATATATTCCCAAAAATCCTAAGAGCAGGAAAAAAATTAAATCCCACTTTCCCTATGAAATCTGTGAAGAGAAGAAAGTCGTTAATGCTTGAGAGAAAAGAGGATGGAAGGAATCTCAAGAACTGCTGAGAAACACTTTAAGAGAAACATATAAAGTCACAAACATACATAAAAACACTCAATAATACAAAATACACAAACTACTACAAATAGCTTTCATTTGCAGGATTACAATATCAATCCAGGCATTACAGAGCTCACAGAACAAACACACTCTGGTTAAACCAAAAGCAAAACCTAATGTCATTCTTAGGCCTTATTATTTGATTAGAAACCATGTAACATTTGTGTTTGTTTCACAAGTTCAGCCAGGCGTGGTGGCACACGCCTCTCATCTCAGCACTCGGGAGGCTAAAGCAGGAGGATCATTGCGAGTTCAAGACCAGCCTGGGCTACAAAGTGAGCTCAAGGCCAACCTGAACTGCATAGCAAGACCCTGTCTCAAAAAGACAAAAAAAAAAAAAGAAAAAGAAAAAAACCAGAAGTTAAAAATGCTTTTGTAAAAAACATTTCAACTGTACAGCAACACCAAAAGTACTTAAACATCTATGCTAAATAACTAACTGAACTACCAGACATCATACAAAACAAAATTGTAAGGCTGTATGTCCATTCTACTGCCCAAGCCTGAAAGGCTTCCAGGGCTCTTCTTTCCTGTTGTTACCGCACGGCTTCAGGAATTCAAGTATTAGTACTCCAACCATCAACATCATCTTTTAGGGTTCGGCTCCCCATGAAATTCCTTCAACATTCCCTTTCCTTAAAATTCCTTCACATTTTAAAGAGACACAGCTAATTATAAAGGGATAATAAAAATAATCTCAATGTCCTGAGAAACTTTACAAAGCTTAAAATTTACAAAGTGCCTCTCTATACGTATGTTTAGTAGCAAATGGGTCCCATTACCTCAGATTTACATGCAAGGACTTTCTCTTATTTTTCTCATCCACTACTAACCACTGTAACTGCTAAGTATTCAAATTAGCAAATACAAATTGTATAGAAGGAAATATCATGCTGCCTCTAAGACACTAATTTTAAGAAAAAAAGCACTGATCTCTTCAAAACACACAATCTTTACATTTGAGTAGTTGCTACCGATATTCCCTATACAGGACAATGTTTAACCTATTAGGGCACAAATACAAGAATTAGGTCAAGTGAGAACAAGATCCACAGAATTCATAGTCATGTGCCTCACAAAGATTCATTCTGCAGTTAACCATCATACTCATTTATAACTGTATTTTGTTTTTGAGACATTGTCTCACTATGTAGGCAGCAGGCCTCAAAATCATTATGTAGCCCAGACCAATCTCAACTCAAATCTTCCTGCCTCAGCTTCCCAAGTGCAGGGATTACAGGTGTCTGCCACTACACCTGGTTGTACTTGTATTTTGTTAAAAAAAAAAAAAAAAAAAAAGTACTATCTGCCTGAAGAAACCAGCATTAGTATCTTAAAAAACTTTTTTTTACAAAGCCCATTGATTGTTCCTCCACAAGTGATACATTTTTTATTTAACACATGCAGTGCATAAGGGCCTGAAGTAAGTATTTAATGCAATTCTGATAGCACAAATAAAAAGCTATACTGTATCAAGCCAGCATGCCATCCACACATGCTAATTTTGCTGTCATGCTAATCTTACAGGTTTAGCATTGGTATTGTTATTTAAAACCAAGGTATTACACCAACACTTAAGTGTTTATACTAAACTGAATCTCATGCCATATACTGCCCCAGAAACTCCAGCTCATTTATACATATAATCACCAATCATTAATAAAGCAGAACTAACAGTACATACTGTAAAATGTGCAGTTTTTTCCTGGTTGTAGAAGGAACCTTCAACTTTAGATTCTGCAATGGTAAAGGAATTATCTTCTGTAGCCGTTAAAATCCCCCAGTCACCCGCAGATTAACAATTTTAATCAGCTGGTATTTCTTAGATTATTTAACCAGATAGCCCCAAAAGAAGAAATGTCCTATTGTGTTTTAGTTAAAAAAAAAAAAAAAGCTATAGCAAAATCAGTGCTACTCTGTAATTGTTTTTATAGGTTTACACCTCTACTGATGCTAATGAGAACAAATTTCAAGTATTATAAATGCAAATATTAATATACAGTGGGCAAGATGGCAAAAGTTTGACAGCAACAACCTTAATAAAAACAAAGGTTCTTCGGTTTCCTAAGAGTAACAACACAGCTTGGTTGGCTAAAATATCCTCTTTACCTGGTGAAATGTCTCACTAGAAGTCGCTCCATAACCAACCAAAGATGTAGGATAGCAACTTAACCATCAGCAACAAAGTGGTCACTAAAAACTAATCAATAACCTAAGAGAACCCCAAAGTCTGAGAAAATAAATGAACTTACCAGATTTACTGATATGGGTATAGAAGTCCCCAGGACAAGGAATGATACATCACACCTACTCTCGTATCACTTTTCCAATATTTTTTCTTGCCCTTCCCTCTCACATCTTCTGCCCTCGCTTGTGTGTGCACACACGTGTGCATATTCACAGTCATGACTATTCTCTTTCATCAATTTAAAAAACAAACTCCTTCCTGTTCATTCAGTTGATACTAAAGAAAAGTTTTATAACAGAATGTTTGATTTATTCATTAGCTGGTACAATACCTGGAATCATCTGTCACTTCTTCAATAAAGCCTGATTCACATCTGGGACATATATATTCCTATAAAAAAAAAAGGAAAGAATAAATAAAAGTTTTCATTAGGAAGACAAGTATGTAGTTTCAGAATAACACAATACATAAATTGGTGGTATGTGATGTTTTCTGTATTTGCTAACTCCCAGGATTTTTTAAATTACATTCTGGCAAATAAAGAATTCCATTAAGATATCTGCAGAATGGCTTTCATAACTAGCTAAGTGGTTCCCACTGGGAGACGAAAGACAGAGGGTCCAAAATTTGTTTCACTTTTTTTTGTTTTGTTTTTTAATTTTGTTTGGTTTATTTTTTTTTTTTGGTTTGGTTTGGGTTTTTAGTGGCAGTGTTAGGACGGTTGCTGTATTTTTTAACTGCAATGAACTTGTCATTTAATCTTCTTTTCAAATCTAATGTAAAAACTCCACTACATTAGAGCATTAAAAGATATTAATATTGATGGATACAGAAACTGCTATTTTTTACTATGTGCACAAAGGAGACAAACTGAGTCACAGCATAAACCAATTTATAGCCTAAGAAATTACAATGGAACTTTACCAATAGTTCCAAATACAACTTAATATTCTTAGCTATTCCACAGAAACTATAATTCAAATAACCAAAACAAGCCCATTAACTCAATTTCTATGTCCTTCAGCAAAGAAGTATTTTCTTAAATACCAAGCTGTCAGACATGGTGGTGCATGCTAGTAATCCCAACACTCAGGAGGATGAGGCAGGAGGATCACCATGAGTTCTAGGCCAGCTTGGGCCATACAGTTAGTTCAAAGCCAGTCTGAAATACATAGTGAGACCCTGTCTCAGAAAACAAAACAAAACAAAAATTAATAATAATAGTAATAATACCAAGCTTTGAGGCTAAGAAAGAAAATACTTTAGAGAATGCCTTATTAGACTTTTAGAAAACATACTTTGATTACATATTAAAATAGATCCTGGAAAGACAGTTTCAATTATTTCCTTGTTCCCTATACTTTCTGGGCCCTAAAGTTTTGTTTTATCTGATGATCATGCAGCTGTATTTGGCTCCTCAAACAAAAATAGATTGGTAACTCAAACATCCAAATGTTTTCTTAAAAGGGACTACTATTGAAGAAAGTGATTATTATTAAAAGGGATCTTATTAAAGAAAATAAGATCAATTCTTCACATCAAAGAAATCCATTTGCTAGGCAATGAAAAGGGAAATTATGTGCTTAGGATGAGGATGAAAGGTAACAGCAGACCTGGAGACTGGAAGGAAGTAGTACACATATGCACTGTCAAAGCAAGCACAGGAATGGAGTAGTATGAATGTGGATACCCAAGAGAGACAAGAGACCAGATTATGGAAAACTTCAAATCACCATGAACTTTAACCCTGTGCACAGGAAGCGACTAACCTTTCATCTCCACTATAGACATCAAGGGTGAGATACATCCACAATAGGCATACTATGAACTACTCTAGAAATAAACTGGAAACCATATTGACCCCTGAATCTTTCCCTCTACTCCTTCATCCTTTAGGTAGGTAATTTCAATCCTATTCCTTTCTCTCCATTAAGAAAATGTATACAAATTCAAGTGAGATTGATTTTAGAAGGCTAAACTTAAATCTATTCTAATGTCTAAAATGAAAAACAAGCCAGGCATGGTGGCGCACGCCTGTAATCCCAGCACTCAGGAGGCTGAGGCAGGAGGATTGTTGCAAGTTCAAGACCAGCCTAGGCTACAAAGTGAGCTCAAGGCCAGCCTGAACTGCATAGTGAGACCCCGTCATAAAAAGACAGAACAGGCGGGGATATAGCTCAATGGCGTAAGTGCCTGCCTGGCAAGCATAATGTCCTGAGTTTGATTCCCGGTATCAAAAAAAAAAAAAAAAGGAAAAAAAAAAAAGACAAAACATAAATAAACAAAATGAAAAACAACAACCAAACCTAGCGCAGTAGTGCACAACTGTAATCCCAACACTGAGGAAATCCTGAAGCAGGGGATCGTAAGTTCAAAGATAGCTTAAGCTGCTCTGTCTCCAAAAAAACAACAAACACCTCACAAACAACAAAACAAAACCAAAAAAAAAAAAACCCACAAAAAACTAAAAACCCTAAAATTTTTTAAAAATCACGAAGTATATTTCATCATAGTTACAGTGCTGGGCCCTCTTCCCTCTTCCCTTTCCCTCTCTCACCATCCCCACCACTTTAAATACAGGCAGAACTCATTCAGATGATGTCTATTTTTTTAAACAAAGTTCTGTGGCATCAGTGCATTAAGCAATTCTGTCAGCATTTTTCCAAAGCACATGCATACTTGGAGCCTCTATCACACATTAATAACTCTTGTAATATTTCAAACTTTTTCATCATTACTGTGTCTATTGTGGTGATTTTATTTATTTTTTAAGATTAAATCTCACACTGTGCAGCCCAGGCTAGCCTTAAGCTTGTGGCAATCCTCCTGACTCAGGCTTCAGAGTGCTGGAATTACACATGAGTGCTGGGATTACAGGCATGCATCACCACACCCAGCTATTATGGTGATCTTTGATGTTATTATTGCACTTGTTTCACAGCGCCACAAGCTACATGCATGTAAAACAGCAAACTGCAGTGTACATTCGGACTGTTCCAATGACCAGTCATTCCTGTCCCTCTCTCCCTCTCCTCAGGCTTCCCTATTCCCTAAAACACAATACTGAAATTATGCCAATTAATAACCCTACAATAGTCTCTAAGTGGTCAAGTGATAGGAAGAGTTACAAGTCTTTCACTTTAATAAAAAACTGGAAATGCTTAAGCTTGATGAAGAAGGCAGGTGGAAAGCTAAGACAGGCCAAAGCTCTGCCAATTTGTGAATACAACGGAAAAGGTCCTGAAGGAAATTACAAGCACTACTCCAAGAAAACACATGAATGGTAAGAAAGTAAACAGTCTCTATCAACAATAAGGAGAAAATTAGTAGCCTGGATATTAGAACAAACCAGCCATAATATCTCCTTAAATCAAAGCCTAACCCAGAGCAAGGCCTTGACTTGCTTCAATTCTATAAAGGCTGAGAGAAATGAGGAAATCTGAAGCCAGCAGAGGCTGGTTCACAAAGTTTAAGGAAAGAAGCTGCTTCTGTAACCGAAAAGTACAAGGTGATGCAGTCTATGCTGACAGAAACACTACAGCAAGTATTCTGAAACACCAAGCTAAAATAATTGATGAAAGTGGCTACAAGAGATTCTCAAGGGAGCCAGGCATGGTGGCACATGCCTGTAATCCCAACACTCGGGAGACTGAGGCAGGAAGATCACTGCAAGTTCAAGGCCAGCCTGAGCTACAAAGTGAGTTCAAGACCAGTCTGAACTGCATAGTGAGACCCTGTCTCAAAAAGACAAAAAAAAAAAAGAGAGAAAGATTCTAAAGAGAGACATTGTTGAGGTTTATAGTGGCAGAAGGTATCATCTAGGACCTCCATGGCTGGAGAGAAGTCAATGCTTGGCTTCAAAGCTTATACTGTGTCTCTTGTTAGGGGCTGATGTAGCTGGTGCTTAAGTTGAAGCCAATGCTTATTTACCATTCTAAAAATCTACAGTCTTTAAAAATTACACCAGCCTGGCATGACACCTGTAATCCTAGCACTCAGGAGGCTCAGGCAGGAGGACTGAGGCAAATCTGAGGCCAGCCTGGACTACAAAGTAAGTTCAAGGCCAGCCTGAACTACACAGTGAGATCCTGTCTTTTAAAACAAACAAACAAACAAAAAAAAAACACCAAATCTATTCCGCCTGCACTCTTATCAAGGAAAAACAAAACCTGATGACAGCACATTTGTTTGTAACATGCTTTATTGAGTATTTTATGCCCACTGTTGAGAGCTTCTGCTCAGAAAAAAGATCCTTCAAAATATTAATTACACGTTGATCATGTACCTGGTCCCTCAAGAGTTCTGATACAGATGCACAAGATTATTACTGTTTTCATACCTGCTAATACTTCTGCCCTGCAGCCCAGTGATCAGTCTTGATGGTTTCTTTTTTTTTTTTTTTTCCAGTACCAGGAATCAAACTCAGGACCGTGCACTCGCCAGGTAGGCACTGTGCCACTGAGCTATTTCCAGCCCTGAGTCTTGTTATTTAAGAAATATGTTTTATAAGGCTACAGCTGCCATTGACAGTGATCCCTCTGATGGATCTAGACAAAGTAAACCAAAAACCTTCTAGAAAGGATTCATAGTTCAAAATGCTATTAAGAACATCTGTGACACACAGAGAAAGATCAAAGTATCAATATTAAAGCACACACAGTAGCTGGTATAATCCCAGCACTCTGGGAGGCAGAAGGACTGCAAATTCAGCCTAGCCTGGACCATTTAGCGAGACTATGTCTCAAAATTTTAAGAATTTATAAGAGTTGGGGATGTATCTCAGTGGAAAAACTGAGTTCAATCCCCAGTACCACAAACAAACAAACATTAATAGGAATTAGGAAGAAGTTGATTCCAACACTAACGGATGGCTTTGAGGGGCTTAGGACTTCAATGGAGGAAGTAATGGCAGACACGGTTGCTATGGCTGAAACAGCAAGAGAACCAGAAGTGCAGCCTGTTTCTATCATGAAAGGAGGCTAAAGCTTGTCAAATGCTTTTCCTGTATCAGAGGAGCTGATTACATGGTTTTCACGCTTCAATCTATTAATGTGGTATTCTGTCTATTTTGATGCATTTGAAATTTCTAATGTGTTTAAAATTGTCTGTGGCAGCTATAGCCTTAAAAAGAAAGTTTTTAAAATGCAGCAATCTGAGAAACATAGTTGGGTCAAGATACTGCTAACCAGGCCATGCATAGTGGGATATGCATTACTCTGGGAGGCTGAGACAGGACGAGCACATGTTCAAATCCAGCCTAAACAACTTAGCAAGATCCTGTCTCAAAATAAAAATTAAAACTCTAATTTTACAAGATCTGAGGATGTAGCTCAGCATGAAGGCCCAGGGTTGAATCTCCAGTACTTCAAAAGGAAGGAAGGGAGGGCCAA